CCCTCTTCTCATCTGGGGACAGGGGAGGAGCTGGGATGGTCAAGGGAAGTAGACTTTGCTTGAATTGTTAAAACTTTGTATCGTTGGGTGAGTTGAGCAACATCTCTGGGCCTCAGTTGTCCTATCTGTCCAATGGGAAGACCCGGAAAGGGGAAGGAGAAATTACAACCAGCCTAAGTCAGACGACAGGATTTGCTTCCGAATCTGTTTAATAGCTGATGACGGTCTGGATGATGAGCTGCAGGGTGGGGTGTGTGTGTGTGTGTGTGTGTAAGTGCATTCCACACACATATAGATGAGAAGGTCACTAACAAATAGTTAACATTTATTTAGTATTAGGTGCCAGGCACTGTACGAGCACTTCACATGCATTTGCTTACGTCCTGCCGTTCTCAGACCACACCTATGAGATATTTTTGTCCTTCCCACAAATGAGAGCACCCAGGCACAGACGAATGAAGTAATTTTCATACAGCTACTAAGTGGTTTGATCCCAGGCATCTGGCTCCAGCCCACCCTCTTTTTGTCCCTTGTGCTTTTGTTCCAAACATCTGTGGTGGCTTCTGTCTCTTTCTCCTCTGCCTGGGGACCCAGAGTCAGGGCAGCTGGGGGTCCTGCAGTGTGGACACGCAGGCAGGGTACCTGCCCACTGGGCAGGGAGTGCCCCAAGGCTGGGCAAGGATACAGGGTGGGTGGTAGGGAGAGGACGCTTAGAAGTGGGAAGGCTATGGGCTGTGCATGAGCAGGAACCAAGAATCCAAAGCATGGAGCTGGGCTGGGGGCTGGGAGCCCCGCCAATGGAACTCCTGCTCTGGGTTCCACCTTCCTCCTCCCTGGCACCCGGCCAACAGCCTGGCCTGCACAGCTGTCCCAAGCTTGGGCTGAGCAAGGGTTGCCCACACATGCATGGACAGGTCAGCTGCCTCTCCCAGCCCCGGCCACCCTGTGGCTCAAGCACGTCATCTTGGGCTCTAAGGAGAAATGCGATTCCCACCTCTGATCTCCTGCAGTTTGTATCGCGCACAGACGCGTTTGTAAAGCTGCCCTGCCATGTCAGGGCTGAGAGTGGAGAAAGTGATTTTGGGCTGGATGCCAGGCTTCTCCATTCACTTGACAGATGTTTACTGAGCACCTACTATATGCTGGGCACTGCTGGGTGCTAGGCATCAGTGGGCCTGGAGACAGTAAACACATCCTCCTGGCACCTATAGCCAAAGCTTTGCTTCCTCCCGGCTTCCTTCCAACACCCACTACCTTGGGGCACTTTGATTCCTCAGCTCTGTGCAGGGAAGGAGCCCAGGCGGTCTCTGCTGTGGACTTTCTTTCTATTTTCTATTTTTTTTTTAAGATTTTATTTATTTATTCATGAGAGACGCAGAGAGAGAGAGGCAGAGGCATAGGCAGAGGGCTCTCCAGGGGGAGCCTGGTGCGGGACTCGATCCCAAGACTCCGGGATCATGACCTGAGCCAAAGGCAGACACTCAACCACTGAGCCACTCAGGTGTCCCACTGTGGACTTTCATCCCAGCTCAGTTACTTGCCAGTTATGCTGCTTTGAGCAAGTTCTTTATCCTCTCCGGGTCTCAATTCATTCACTCAGCCTGCATATATTTACTGAGCACCTACTATGTGCAGCCTACACTGTGGCAGGGCAGACAGACAATGAACAGTGCCCTTAATAAGCATCACATTGTAAATTGTGTTCGGAAGTGATTCATCCTGTGGATAAAAGGAGATGCGAGGCAAGTAAACGGGGGTTGGGAGTGGAGTGGGTGGGGTGGATGGGGTTTGCCTCCTTGAGAAGGTGCATGAAGATGGTGAGGGAGAGAGCCGTTCAGGTGTTGGAGGTGGTGAGCGCTGCAGGCAGGGGGCACAGCTAAGCAAAGGTCCCCAGGTGGGAGCAAGCCTGGCATGGGGGAGGCACAGAGAGGAGGCACTCACTCTATAGTGGTGGGGGTGGGTGGAGGGCAAAAACCAATAAAACGCAAGTTAGGTGGTTGGTAGCGCTAAGGAGAAAACAGTCTCCATCAGAGCGAAGACTTTCCCCATGTCTCCCCTAGGGGTACTGTCCCTGCCAGCTGGGGGTCAGCCCTGTGAAAGGGAATCACCGCCTGGTTGTCCTGTGTCCATCTGTGCATGATTTGCCTCCAGGACTGGGGGCTATGCCTGACCCCTTGAGCCCAACTTCCCTAGATCCCTGGAGGGGTTGGTATGCGCTGTGGGACAGGCTCCAGCTGGTGCGGGATTTCTGGTTAGAGGGAATGTGGGAGCTGGGAGGGCCCCCAGGTCTCTTGCCAGAGGTTCCCAGATGTTAGGCCTTGCCCGTGGCCTTGTGCCTCCCTGAGAAGGTTTTCCGGCTCCTGAAATGGGAAAGCGGAGGGAATACGGGGGTAATGCAGTGAACCAAACATAGGCTAAATGGATTCCATTTAGAAATTATGAACTTTCCAATTTTATGGAAAGTCCTTTATTAAAAAAATATTTCATTTATTTATGAGAAAGAGAGTAGAGGGAGGGGAGGGGACAAGCAGACACGGTACTGAGCACAGAGCCCGTCACAGGGCTCGATCCTACGACCCTGGGATCATGACCTGAGTCGAGACCAAGAATCGCACGTCCAACCAACTGTGCCACCCTGGCACCCCCAAAATGTCCCTTTCTGAACTCATGGCAACCGGCATTGGTGATTGTTTAGAGTCTCTACTTGGCAAAATAAACCCTTGGCAGCCCTATGTTAGCACCTCCCTCTATTTTCTACTGTTTTGGGAAATGTTTGCTTCTGTATTATCTCAAAATCTGGGAACTAGTGACCTATTTGTCCCTCTGCTGTGCAGATAATAGGACCTGTGACCCCGGAAGGTTGCTTGTCGTCACAGACAAGAGTTAATTGTCCTACTTTTGGTCCGAGGAAAAGAGCTATGAGAGCTCGGAGCCAAGAGGAAGAGAAGAAGAGAACTCCCGACTGCAGGAGACAGTTCCAGCTCCGGCTAAGCGGGGGCAGGACCATGCGTGGCACCTGCTACTGAGGGCCAATGCGAAGCTGTGGCCAATCCACACCATGGGCACTGGGCTGCCCTCTGCCAGGTTGCTGGAGGCAGGGACCAAGCCTACTCTTGCCAGCTGCAGGGACTTCAGACACGTCATTTAACCTCCCTGAACCTGCTGTTCCCACCTTGAGACCCTGAGAGAGCTCAGTGCCCTCCCAAAGCTGAAATCCTGCACCAGCCAGAGCCTGTCCGCAATATATACTGACCCCTCTGGGGAATCTGGGCGAGTGAGGCTCAAGGGGATAGAGCAGAGCCCCAGAACCAATGAGGGGAGCCACATGGGCAGATGGGCATCTCTGTCGAAGGGGTGGGTTAATGCGGAGGAACTCGAACCCTTGAGCGGATTGATTCTGCCTCACGTTTCGTCATGCCCGTTGCTTCTTGGACGCTGATGGAGAAGTTTGGCACTACAATGGGTTATCCCCATTGAGGGGCATGGGCCTGAGGAGATGGGCACCCTTGCACCCATTTCGCAGCTAGTAAGGAGGGGACCGAGACCCCAACCCAGAGCACTTTGGTCATCAGTTGTGGGATATGGCAGCAGGAATTTAGAAACAGATTGAGGGATGGATCCAAATAACATTTGATATCATTTTAAACACAGGCTTCCTGGAATTTTTATGGTAAGGACCTTATTTCCCTGGTCTCACCTGCTCCCTTGGTGCCTGGAATGAGTAGTGTCCCCTGTGGCCCCTCAAGAACTGTTGAAGGAGGGGGCAGTGCCCTGTCCGGTCTGCTTAGTAATGAGGAAAAGGAGGTTCAGGGGAGAGAGGGGACTTGCGGAGTCCGGTGCTAGGACAGAACGTGTCCTCTGCTCTCCCATCTGAATACAGGCTCTAGGGCTGCTGGAAGGTTAGCAACAAGGTGAGCAAGCTACCTGGCACTGTGCCCAGCATAACAGGTACTTACTAATTAGTGGTGTTATGTTTTGAATGCCTGCTATCTGTCCATCTTTAAACATTGGCATTAAGGATGAGGGGTCTATAGGAGACAGAGTTCAGGTGAAGCTCTGCCTGTGTGAGCCTTAGTTTCCTCATCGGTAAGACGGGAGTGGTATACTAGCTACTGGGACGCCTGGATGGCTCAGGGGTTGAACGTCTGCCTTCTGCCCAGGGTATGATCCCGGAGTCCTTGCATGGAGCCTGCTTCCCTCTCTGCCTGTGTCTCTGCCTCTCTCTCTGTGTCTCTCATGAATGGATAGATAAGATCTTTAAAAAAAAATACTAGCTACCTTTGGGGCCCACTGGGAGAGCCTAAGAGATCATGCAGATTGGTGTTTCACTCTGGAGGCTGTGTTCCTCCCCTCCCCCACACATCTGGTTCTGAAAGGCATCCTTTGAGGGGAAGGTGGCCCTATTTTACAGGTGAGGACACAGACGAGAGAGTAAGTGACCTCCCAAGTGATACACAATCATTTTCTGGCTACAACAGAGACTAATGCAATAGTTGCTGTTTATTGAGCGCCTGCTGTGTGCCAAGAGTTGTACATACACTCTCCTTGGATTCTCTTACAAACTTGAGAAGTTGCTATGATGATTATACCCATTTGTCGGATAAGGCAATAGAAGTACAGAGAGGAATTAATAAGCTGGGGTCACGTACTTAGGAAGTTAATGCTGGAAACAGGCAGCTTGGGTTTGGGGCTCGTGGCTTCATGGGTCTTGAAGCTGGGGTGCCCTGAGGGAGGAGGGTTATACTGTGAATTCAGAGGCTGGCTGAAGGTGTTTAGGGCAGAGGCTCCAGGCCCCACCCTGGGCTGCCGAGCATGGTTCCTGCCTTCGGGGTGGACTGCGGATCTACCTCTGAGGCTTGACAGGAGGCCAGGACAAACATGGGAGCCTCCTGCCCTGCCCGGCCACCTGGCATGGGAGCAGACATGGGGGCAGTGGGCGTATGTGTCAGTGAGTTCAGCCTGCTGGCCCGGTGCTCAGAACTGTCCTTTCACCTTCAAAGGAGTTTCTCTGTGACCAGAAGTACAGTGATGAAGAGAACCTGCCGGAAAAGCTCGCGGCCTTCAAAGGTAAGCTGGGGCTGTCTGCCTCTCCCTCCCGGGAGAGCTGGGCTGGCCCCTGGCACATAGGATCCCTTACCCTACAGGGCCAGCCCACGCCCCCTAATTTTTCCAGAATGCCCTCCTCCTGGGAGGGCTGTGAGAAGGGGTGCTGGCCACCGGCACAGGCCCCTCCACCTGCCTCCATGCCACCCCAGGCCCCCCACCATGCCTGCAGGCCCAGCCCCTCACCCCCTACCCTGGCTGCTGGGCAGGCAGGGCTGAGGCTGGCTTGCGTCGGCTGCTGCCCAGGCCCTGCTCGCTCCTGGGGCCCCAGCACACAATCAGCCCTTTGTAGCAGCCCTGGCCTCTCCCCTCCACGGGGGAGCGGCTCAGGAGCCCCTGTGCAGAATGGACGTTTGTGTCGCCACAGTGGGGCAGGGGGCAGAGTTTCTGCCCATTGAATCCCAGCAGCACGGGATGAAAAGAAAACAGGGCCCAGGAGCCCGCGCGGGGAGGGGGCGGCATAAAGGTCCCTCTGTTCCGGGCCCTGGCGCTTGGTTCCCAGCCAGCAACTCGAAAGGAGAGGAGCCGTGCACATAAGGAGCAAGACAGACCCACCTTTCCTGCCTGGGAGATGCTCTCGGCATGCAGGGAGCCCTGGCTGCTGGAGGATCTCGCCAAATATACTGAGGTCACATTCCACCTCCCCCCCAAGTTTTGGCAATGGGGACAACCTTCCAGCTCCAAGGCAAAGAGCCTGCCAAGTGCTCCTCAAGCTGCTTGCAGGACACTGATGGCGAACCCTTTGTTGAACGTTGAACTTGTGGGAACTACTTCGAATGCCGTGTTGTGGACTTCCCAACTCATCCCAATTCAGCCAGGAGGGAGATGGGTGTGAGCTTTAATTTATAGATGAAGACAGTCAGGATTAGAGAGGTGGGGTCACACAGCTCGCCGATGGCAGAGTTGAGGCTTGAGCACGTACTGATCTCTCTCCAAAGCCCCTGCGCTGAACCATTATGGAGTGGGGCCATTTATGTGAGCAAAAAGAACTAGAGCAAAGACACCCCCGTCCCTGCCCCATTCCACCAGCCCGTCCTGCTGCCCAGAGGAGAGCCACTCAAGGGAGGAGTAGTCCATTCCCTTCTCTCTGGGATAACAAGGGGATCCCTCTCCAGGGGTGTCTCTGGGAGGAGGGACAGAGGTCTCTCCTCCTTGTCTTCGTTGGCACCTAGGATTGGGTCTGTAGGACTGGAACCACAGAATTACCTTGGAAGTGAAGAGACTAAAGATTTTCAAATCACTCACTCATTGGACCTCTAAATGAGCACTATGTGCTGACCCCACTGCAGGCCTGGAGGTGCGACAGGGCACACGCAGAGACCCCTGCCCAAAGGAGGTTGTGTGCTAGCAGGGGAGGAGTGGGGAAGAGAAAGGTACTGCAGAGCACACAGATGATGGTAGGTGCTCTGTGGGGGGTGGCAGTGCCCAACCAGCAAGGTGGGGGCCGGGGCCCTGAGAATACCTGGGAAGAACATCCAGGGAGAGGGGCACAGCACACCTCAGCAGGAGCGCAGCGGGGGCGAGAGTAGAGCAAGGGGCCGAGGGGCCTGGAGTAGTAGGACCAGTGGGAATGGGAGCAGTGGTGAGAGAGGAAGAGAGAGCTTGGTAGGCTGGAGAGCAGGCCCTCATAAAGGTCATGGGGAAGACCTTGGCTTTCTCATACTGGCTCTTCAGTGCAGAATAGACTTCGAGGGCCCTGCTTTTTTACGGTGGGGGTGACCTGCCCAGGGCCACATGCTGCCCTTGTCAGAGGATTCCAAGCTCATGGCTCTGCATATGTTCCCTCACTGTTGGAGATTCCCTGGATCCTTTGATCAGAGAGGCTTAACTCAAGGTCTGTAGGTGAACTTTTGGGGAGGGTCTGTGTCCCCCTGGACACTATATGTGCCACTTTGGGTCAAGGGCAGGTCCACGGCATTTCTCTTGGGAGAGCATCATATTCTCAGGGGTGGCTGCAAACTCCCCCCCTCCCCCCGCCCAAATGTTCAGAAACCACAGGGACTCCTTAAATCAGTGGTTCCCACACCTGGCTGCCCAGCCCATCAGAATCACCTGAGACACTCTAGAACATACCAGTTCTTGCCCCCACCTTCCCAAAGCCACTGCATACATATATCAGGGTCTGGGAATCTATTCTGGTCACTTCGTAGCCAATATGATGCAGCCACCTCATGCTGGTGGGGACCCAGGAGGAAGCAGCTGCCTTCCTCCGCAGAGAGAAGGGCCCCTAGTACTTTATTCTGTGGCACCTTTGGGAGAGGAGTGTAGGCAGGGTGAGCTCTTTCTCCAGAGACAATGGCTGAGATGACCGGAGTCATGTCAAGACCCCCAAGTAAGGTGAGGAAGATGGTGTAGGCTCCCTGAGGACCCGGCCAGTTGCCCTCAGGACATCTCTGGGACCCTGCAGGGGGTTGAGCTAATGCCAGTTTTTGCTCTGTGATTTCCAGAGAAGTACATGGAGTTTGACCTGAATAATGAGGGCGAGATTGGTAAGTGAGGCCTCGAGTGTGCGAGGGGAGGAGGGCGTTTGGTCGAGTGTGCGAGGGGAGGAGGGCGTTTGGTGGCTGGAACAAACCTTCTCCGTATGAAGGTCCGGAGAGCCCCACTGACCCACTTGGGTGATTGAGGGGCACATACCAAAGCTTCCCCGATGTGCCAGACCAGCGAGCTGTCCGTCAGCCTGGCTGCCTTGGACCCTGGACCCACTGTCCCCAGACCCCTCTTCTCATTGGTTCCCTCCTACCCACCCCCCTGCACATGCCGCAGCCTTCCACGCCAGGTGCCATGGGGATTCAGGATAGAGGGTGCCGTTCCGGCCTGGGGTCGGAGATGCTCAGGCTCCTGATGCATTGGTCCAGGGGGTTGGCAGTTCCTTTGTCCTTGCATTTGTACACTGTCCTGCATGGGACACGGTGCTTCTGTGAACGTAGCTTCCCCTCCTCCAATAGACCCTGATTGTATCGTGTGGTCTGGGCATGGGGGGGGGGCGGGTGACAAGCGCCAGTCCCATGGCCCTTAGAGCCGAGACCATATTTTTTCTTTTTTAAGATTTTATTTCTTTATTCATGAGAGACACACAGAGAGAGGCAGAGACACAGGCAGAGGGAGAAGCAGGCTCCATGTAGGGAGCCTGATGTGGGACTCGATCCCAGGACCCCAGGACCATGCCCTGAGCTGAAGGCAGACGCTCAACCACTGAGCCACCCAGGTGCCCCCCGAGACCATATCTTGACCTTCCTGAGTAATGCTATGACATGGTCAAGGCCGACTTGAATTATTCCCATTTTACAGATGAGGAAGCTGAGGCTCAGCAGGGTGCACTGACTTGCTCGGGGCTCATGGTGGTGAAGTGGCAGGCCCAGCGTCCAGATCCCAGCCTTTGGTTCCCAGACTGGCTCTCCCTCCTCTGTTTCGCCCTGAGCTCAGTATTGCTGCCGCTGCAGTGTTTCTACCCTTCCTCTGTCTTGTCTCCTTCTTCTCCTTTTAAAATACTTCTATCCTTGTTTTCCTTTAGGAAAAAAAAATGGGGCGTTATCAAATTAATACATTTTCATCATAATAAATTTTGGAAAACACAATGAAGCACAAAGACAAAAACAAGTCACCCACAATAACTGCTCTAAATATTTTGGGTTGTATCCTTCCACCCTTTGTTCTAATCACAAATGCTGTTTTATGACCATTTTAGAACCTCTTTTAAAAAATATATATATTGTGAGTGTCTTGCCATATGATTAACTTTTCTTTTGAGTTATAATTAATGGCTGCCTAATATTCCATCACGGGGCCAGACTGTGATTTGTTCAGCCAGTGCCTTAGAATCGCCCATTTAGACAATTTCAATTTTAACTACTTTTGATAGTCTTGTGGAGAGCGTCTTTGTATATGAATCTTTGTCCACGATTATTTCTTTAGAGTAAATCTCAGGAATTAGACATTCTGGGTCAAAGGCTTTTGAAGCATCTTGCCAAATTGCCTTCCAGAAAGGTCTTGCCAATTTAGAGTCTGGCCAGCAGTGTGTGGGAGACCTGTCACTTATCCCCGCAGAGTGCCGCCTAGTTTCTTTGAAATGCCCTGGGCATCCTGTCACCTAGGGATCTGGCATCAGTCTGCCCACCCTGCTCTCGGGTGAGCTGTCCCGCCACACCCTGGGCCCTAAAATTGGCCCCCTATCCCGCCTCTCTCCCACCATCCTTTGCCGACCCATTGTTCACAGAACAATCTGGAGGAAATTGCCTAAGATCTGGGCAGTCAGCAGGTCAGAGGCAGCAGTTCTGTGGAGTGTCGTGGCTCTTTGGTGCCTCCCTTGTTTTTCTTGAATTTTGTTCCTTTGTTGGTTTTCCTGCTCTGCGGGATATTTTTGGCACCCTCACCCTGCCAGCGAGGCAGAACCCTAGGCCTGCTGGGTGGGAGTGGCAGGTGGAGAGAAGCTGCCACCCGGCACCCCGCGGAGTGACTTTCCATGCCGAGGGTTGAGCCGACTCCCTGACCCCACCTTGCCAGGCAGTGACTTCCCGGGGAGCTGGAGCAGGGGGCACACAGCTCACTGTAACTTCAGGGCACAGCAGGTGGAACAGAGTAAACAGTGGTGGCTCTGTTACTGAGCACCTGCTTTATGCCGGGTACTTCTTGCACACCACCCTTCCAAAAGATCCCATCACCCCATGTTACCACTTCTGGGAGCAGTTTCAGAGAGGTTAAGTAGTTTGCCCTTGGTCCCACAGCTGGGAAGAGCAGAGCTGGATTCCAACCCAAGTCCAAGTCTGTCTGACTCTAGGAGTCTGTGTCCCTAACCACTAGTATATACTACCTCTGAAGAGAGCAGGGAGGGTGTGATGGGCTCATCCCCCCCTGGAGGACAGAGGCTGTTGACCACAGTCCGCAGGGAGAGGCTGTCCTGCGGGGCTTCTTCCGGGAGTGGGTGCCAGGGGAGCTTGGCCCGCAGCCTGTCTCCACTTAACAGATCTGCTTTTCCTCTGGCAGACCTGATGTCTTTAAAGAGGATGATGGAGAAGCTCGGAGTCCCCAAGACCCACCTGGAGATGAAAAAGATGATCTCGGAGGTGACAGGTGGGGTCAGTGATACCATCTCCTACCGAGACTTTGTGAACATGATGCTGGGGAAGCGGTCGGCTGTCCTCAAGCTGTGAGTACCTCCTGCCTCTCCTGGGACCTCTGAAGGCAAAGTCATTTTGCGTGGAGAGGCCATTCCCTGGCCAGGAGGGAACACCCTGTGTGGCCTGCGTGATGAGGGTCTTCATTTCTCTGAACCCAATTTCCTTGTCTGTCAAATGGTCACATTAATACATACCTCATAGGCAAAATTAGCCTGTAGCAGAACTTCTGGTAGAATCAGCACTCAGTAAGCAGAAAGATGGTGGTGATGATAAATCTGTGAGGGCACCTGGGTGGCTGGTGGTCAAGCGTCAGCCTTTGACTCAGTTCATGATCTCAGGGTCCTGGGATGGATGGAGCCCTGTGTCAGGCTCCCTGCTCAGCTCTCTCTCCCTCTGACCCTTCTTCCTGTTTGGGTGCATGCTCTCCCTCATTCTGTGTCCCAAATAAATAAATAAATAAATAGGATCTTTAAAATAAATTTAATAAATAAAACACCTAAGGTTTAGTGCGTTTACAGTGTCAGGCACTGGCCTACCCAGTAACTCCTTAGATCTATCATTTATTAATTCAGTAGATATTTACTGAGCACCAACTATGTGCCCAGAATTATTCTAGGTGCTGAGAACACATGAATTGCTGGCCTCATGGAGCTTACATTCTAGTGGCAAGAGACAGAGAAAAACAAAATCAAAACCCTAAAAGGCTAAAATGCCAGATTGCAATGGTGTGGTTCAAAGGAAAACAAAGTGAACAAGAGGAACAGGGAGGCATGGGATAGTGGGCAGAGAACATCTCACTGAGAAGGCAACACTTGACCAGAGCCCTGAGGGTGAGAGATGTGAAGCGATGAGCCATGGAAAAGATCTGGGGAAAACCATTCTAGGCAGAGGAAGCAGCAAGTGCAAAGGCCCTGAGACAGACTGCTTGTATGCGCAAAGAAACAGCACGGAAGCTAGTGTGGCTGGCCATCAGTGAGTGCAGTGAGTGAAGGATGAGTTTGCAGAGTGACGTGGGGACTCATAGGTCACAGTCCCACTTAGTATTTGGCACTAGTGTGAAGGGATGCCATTGGGTGACTCAAAGCTAGGGGCTGATTTTTAAAAACCTCTGGCTGCAGCAGGGGTGAGAGTGGCAGCGAGGAGGCTCTGCAGACAAGAGATGAGGCCACTCGGCCTGGAGAAGCTGCAGTGAAGGTGGCAGAAGCCGCTAGAATCAGGAATGATTGGGGAGACAGAGCTGGGAGGCTTGCTTCAATGCCCAGAGAGGGGGCGTGAAGTACAGCAAGGAGTCAGATGATTCTGATCTGTTTGGGGTCTGAATAACTGAGTGTAACTGAGTGATGTTCCGTTTGCTTTAGGGAAAGAGCAGGGGAGGGACTAAGAGTTGATTTTTTTAAAGATTTATTTATTCATGAGAGACACAGAGAGAGAGGCAGAGACACAGGCAGAGGGAGAAGCAGGCTCCATGCAGGGAGCCCGATGTGGGACTCGATCCCGGGACTCCAGGATCAGGTCCTGAGCCAAGGACAGACACTCAACCACTGAGCCACCCAGGTGTCCCAAGAGTTGAGTTTTTGATGGATTAAGTTGGAAGTGACCTTTAGACGTCCAAGGGGAGAGGCCATGGAGGGGGCTGGATGTGCAAATCAGCTCAGAGGTAAGCTGCTTGTGGACTGTCGCCCTTAGGGAGGGATTTCTAGCCAGGGGATGGAAAGCACGCACCCAAGGAGTGCCTACAGAAGGAGTGGGGCACTGATACTTGCTACGGCTCCAGGGTGTTGGCACTTTGGGGATCCTTACTTCCGGATGGAAACACTGAGCATCAGGGGAGTCGAGTGTCTTTTCTTGAGTCACCAGCTAGGAAAGAGTAGGGCTGGGATTCACATCAGGCTGTTTCCCACGAGAGGCCCCATGCAGGACCCTTGTCTTCTACTTTCCAGATGCTACTTTCTTTGAGAGTGGGGGGGTGGCAAGGGAGAGGGGGAGAGAGAGAGAGTCTTAAACAGGCTCCAGGCCCAGCATGGAGCCCGACACAGGCTCAGTCTCACGACCCTGAGATCATGACCTGAGCTGAATTCAAGGGTCGGATGCTTAACAGACTGAGCCACCCAGGCGCCCCAGATGTTACTTTTAAAACCTTGGGAGGTTTTTGAAGATCTGAAAGGGTTTTGAGCAGAGCCGTGGCCCAGCCTAACTCTGCCTCCTTCAGGTAGCATGGTTAGGGGAAAATGCATGGCCAAGAATACAGAGATCTTTTTTTTTTTTTCTTTAAATACTTTATTTATTCATGAGAGGTACACAGAGAGAGGCAGAGACACAGAGGGAGAAGCAGGCTCCCTGTGGGGGGCCTGATGCAGGACTCGATCCCAGGACCTGGGATCATGACCTGAGCTGAAGGCAGACGCTCAACTACTGAGCCACCCAGGTGCCCCGAATACAGAGATCTTTGTACTCAGTTTTCTCTCCTGTGAAATGGGACTAGCAGCCCCTTCCACACCAGAGAAGATCCCACTGGAGAATGGACGCAAGGACCCTGCAGCCGAGGACCTTGCAGACACTGGGATGATCTATCCCTGGATAAGGGAAGGAATCCTATCCTAATCCTGTTTGTTTTTTTTTCCCTTCATCTCCAAACCAGAGTCATGATGTTTGAAGGAAAAGCCAACGAGAGCAGCCCCAAGCCAGTTGGCCCCCCTCCAGAGAGAGACATTGCCAGCTTGCCCTGAGGACCCCCGTCTGGACCTGCCCCCGTTCCTCCCTCCCGATCTTGCTGACCTTGATTCATTGTGATTTGTCTTATTTGTTTTGTTTGGTCATCGTGCGTCTGTTTAGTTTTCAATCAGCAGAATCAGTGATCTCTTTGTAAAGCACAAATTTTCTGCCTTAAAGGGGCTCTGGGCCAGGGAATTCTGAGCCTTGGGGACCCTCCCTCTTTTCTCTTCCCTCCTTCCCCCTTCCCTGTACAGAAGGGCTGACATCAAACCAAAAACTGAAGGGAGCAGCCAGGACGGGGAGGCTGGAAGATGGTGAGCCTCATGCTTGGCACTGGCACAGTCCGTCCTTCCAGGGTCCCCGAGCTAAGTCCAGGCTCGCTGGCCTGGCCCTGGTGAGAACCACAGCCCACTTGCAGAAGATCCTGGAATGGGAACTAGGGTTTCCTCTTGGGCTGTCTAGGGCGTGGCCACTCACCCTCCTCCCCCAGTCCCCACTTCTTATCCTCACGGAGGTGACAGAAGCAGAGGAGAGGGGCTTGGTAGTCTGAGCCATTCAGGAAGGTTCCAGAAGAAATCCTCTGGCCTTGGCTGCAGCCACATCTTTATAGGCAGCTCGGAGGGAAAGTGTAGCCCTCCTGTCCTTTGCTGGGGCAGCAAAGGGCTTTGGGGGGTAGAAGGGAGGCCAGGGGCCTTGGGAGGGGCATCTGTTTGGTCTGGTGCCACCTTTCGGGGTGGGGGGGATGCTGAGGATAACAGGATAAGAGAAGGAGGCATAGAATGCCCATGGCAAAAAGTCAGCACCACTAATTAGCCAAGAGCTGAGAAATAGGTTGCCTTTCTGACCCCAATCTGCTTGAAAGCTGACCGTGCCCCACCCCATTTGCCTTCCCATTCATTTATTCATGCAGTCACTCACTCACTCACTCACTCATTCAACAGGTATTGACCACCTATTATAAGCTTTAAGTCCCCCCACTTTGTCCTGACATGTGCTTTGCCCTCTAACCCATCTCTCCATTTCCAATCACCTAAAACCTTGCCCTTGGGAATTGGATTGGGGTCCCTTATAATGGACTCCCAAGGTTCGAGAGCCCTGATCCACTCTGTAGGTTAGCTGGACGGGTCCTCTTATTTCACAGGTGAGAAAACTGTGGTGCTCACAGGGATTAAGTGCCTTGCCAGGGGGTTAGTTGGGAGACGGAAATTTGGACTGGAACCCAGGGGTTCAGATGCCGTGCCCATGCCTCATCTCTGCTCTGGGCTGGTTCAGTGTTGAAAACGAGGGAAGGGACGGGGAGGGGTAATTCCTAGGTCGATACTTGGGGGAGGCCCTGGGCCAGGACTCACCCTTCCCGGGACCTCCACGTCAGCACCAGGGCTTGGGTAAGGGCCAGGCTGCCTTGGCCGTTCTGCCCTCCCTAGAGCTGCTCCGCCAGGCCACTTCCCAGAACTCACACAGGAAGGTGTCACCCTCAGCCCCTCCTTGGCTGAGCAGAGACCCCAGCCTTGGCCCCATCTGGTTCTGGTGTCCCTTACCCTGCCCACTCAGGACTTGGATGCGCTCATCCATTGATTATATTCATTAGGCTATGGGCCAAGAGCGAAGAACCAGGTAGTGAACTGGACAGACTCCTAGAGTTTTCATCTAGTGGGGGAAGTCAGAACCAGAGAACCACCAGGGAGATGAATGTTAAGAAAGAGGGGACTGTGGGGTGACTGCACTGCAAGACTGAGCAAGAGTCTTGGAGAAGCCCTTGCCCAACATCTGGGTGCTGCTGGAGGTGGGAGTCCGTGTGGGCTCCCCGAGGCTCCTTAGTGACTCGTAATCAAGGGCCCAAGGAGTTGCCCTTGCAGCAGCTTGAGGAGTGAAGAAGGTAGGGGGAATGAGGAAATGCCCAGGATTAATCGTGGATAATCCTGGTTAACCACCAGGTTAATCTGGTCTCAACCAGTTGAGAAACAAGATTATTTGGCTATGACTGGCTGATCTTTAGCCCAAGGAGCTGCTTCAAATGCACAAGCCTAGTTGAAGTTTAAACCCCAGCAAAACAGTTCTCCCTGTAAGTGTAAAACTCACCCCACCACCCCCACTGTCTCCCTCTCCCCCCAGATCGTTAGAGAAACAACTGCCCGTCCCTACCCCTTCCCGCTGGCCTCCTTCTCTGGGACAGGCTGAGACCTTTGAGCAAGGTAATACCTTCCCTCACTATCCATTATAGTCAGTGTACCTGTTCCTCACTCAGGGACGAGGGCAGAAGCAACCGGGCTTGTTTCAGCAGGTTCCACAGTTAACAAGACTGTAGGAAGCCTTCTTTGAGGGAGGGACACGGGTGGGTGTGTCCCCAGCTTCCGGAGAGGGCAGGAAAGACAGTTCTCCATTGGATGAGGAGTGTCCTGGGAAACATCACCAGTTCCTCCACCATTTATTAGCACTCAATTCCTGGTGGGAGAGGGGCTTAAAAGTGGTCCCTGGAAAGGAGGGTCTGCATATATTTCAGATTGTGGCTACCGGCTCTCGGACTTACTTCCCTGGCCAAGGCCTCAGCTTCTTAGAACTTCAGCTTGTCTTCTTTCTGAAAGAACCAAATCTGACTAACTGCAACCAGCAACGCGGGGACCGTCAAGCACGGCTTTGTCCCTAGACTCGAAAGTTTGCCGGGCACGTTCAGGTGGATGGAGTATGTGAGCGTGTGTGTGCACGTGAGTGCGTGTGGCACTGGATGTCATCTCTACAGACTAGAAATAAAACAGACAGACTTACCAATGTCCCGACTTGTGTATTTTGGGGACAGCTCCTGGGCTCAGCAAGTCCAGAAAAGGTAGCTAACAGAGTGACAGCTCTAATGAATGTGTCCTGTGTGCCAGGCTCTGTTAAATGCTGGACTTCATTTACTCGCCGCGACAGCCCCATGAAGCAGCTTCTATTATCCTTGCTTTTTTTTTTTTTTTCTTTTTTAAGATTTTAGTTATTTATTCACGAGAGACAGGCAGAGGGCGAAGCAGGCTCCCTGCCGGGAGCCCCAGACCGGACTGGATCCCAGGACCCCAGGCTCCCGGCGGGGATCACGACCTGGGCAGGAGGCAGACGCTCCACCACTGAGCCACCCGGGGTCGCCCGTTATCCTTGTTTTAGAAAGGAGAAGCGGGGGGGGGGGGGCGCCTGGGGGGCTCAGTTCAGTGCCTGACTTCCGCTCAGGTCCTGATGTCAGGGCCCAAGGAGGCAGCTGGAGTCGGCGGGGAGGCAGCTTCCCCTCCCCGCCAACAGCGCTCTTTTTCTCAAATAAATGAAATCCTTAAAAAGGTTTTTTTTTTTTTAAAGAAACGAGAAGCAGGCTTGGGGCAGATAAGCCATTCGCTGAAAAGCGGACAGTAAGGACCGAGGACAGCCGTGCCCCCGCCCCGAGGTAACCCGCAGGCCTCGTCCCCGCCGTTCCTGCCCGACGCAGACGCGTGCGCGAAGGCCGCCGTCAGTCACCGCCCCCGCCTCCTGCGAGGGCCCTGGGGGGCGTTCTTCGCCTCTCCGCGCTCAGGCAGCCCCGGTAGCGGCCCCCGGGAGCGAGGAGGTCTCGAGCTGCGACAACCAGGCTCGAGAGTCTCGCGCGGCGCCAGGCTCCCGCCCGCGAAGCGAGCGCCCTGCAGGGGCAGACGAGGCCGACGTCGCGCGCCCTGCGCTCCCCTCCGCTCCCCTCCGCCCCCCTCCGCCCGCCCTCGGAGCCTGTGTCCCTCCACACCCCCTCCGACGCCTCTCTCGGGAGCTGCCCCCTGGAAATGTCCGTCAGGCTCCCAACTCCTCTCGTCCGGGGACCGCTGGGAACCACCTACATCCTCCTGCCACCGCGAGGCTTCAGCGCCACAAGCCGCGCAGAGCGACCGCGCCGGCGCCCCGCAACCAGCCACGCCCACCAGCGCGGCCGTCCGGCTCCAGCGGCAACGCCGAGGGCAGCACCCGGGGGCTTCAGGGCGCAGGCGCGTCGGGCCCGGGCCACGCCCCACGCCCCACCCCCCACCCGACCCGGCCAATGGGAGGCGGTGGCCAGGAGAGCGCGCGACTTCCGAGGGCCGCTCAGTCTCCTCCGACCGCACGGCGCTTCGGGGGCGCGTGACGTCACCAGGGCGCGCCGGAAATGCGGCGTCTGCTGCGTGCTGCCAGCGGAGAGAGGGAAGGAAGCTGGCCTGCGAGCGGCCGGGGCTGAGTGGGGGCAAGGCCGCGGGCGGCAGCGGCGGCTGCTTCGAACAACTAAGCGTGGCGCGATGGGAGACGAGATGGATGCCATGATCCCCGAGCGGGAGATGAAGGTCAGAGACTGGCCGGGGCCGCCCTCCCTTCCTTAGTCCCGGCGCTGCCTGGGAGCCCCGCTGAACCGCGCAGCGCGGGGGCCGGCTCTCCGGCTTCCCGCCTCCTGCTCGCACACTTTTGCGCGACTGGAGAGCTCTCTGCGGTGCCCCCGGCGCGCTAGCCCCGCCGAATGCACGGTCCCCGTCCCTTGTTGGTCTTGCGCGCGCCGCTTCAGTTACCCTAGTTACTTTCACGTGGTGCTCGGAGTCGTGGTAATGATTACCGTTTATTGAGCGTTCAGCGTTTGCCAGATACCGTGGTACTAGGTGCCAGCGGCCCTAGGAGGGATTGTGAATAAAGAGGAGCATAGCGAGGCCGGGGAAGTGACTTACCCAAAGTCCCATTTGACAGAGGGGCTGAAGTTTAGGTGGTGGGTTTACTTATTTTTTTAAGGACCCTCTCACTGTACTTTGTACTTTGTAAGAGGGTCCTGGCGTGCCTAACGCAGAGCCAGGAGGGTTCGTCCCCTGCGCTGCAAAACCTTTAGTTGAATGGAATAGGAAGCCTCTTTTGCTGTTAGAGATCAGCGTAAAGTCAGGAAACTGAAGAGAGGGGCAGGTGATCCAAATGACGGGTCATGAGGAAGTTGCGCGAAGCTTTGAGGCGATTGAACCCGTCCCTGAAATGCGTTTAGGGAGTAGTAATCCATCCCCACAGTTACAGCAGTGATTCCTAAGGACAGGGGCGGGGAGGGGTGGTGAGCCACCCAGTGAGAGTGAGACTGTGCCAGTTTCTCCCGCAATGCTGGGGGGCAGAAGGAAATATAAAGGTTTCAGAACCACAGGCTTGGAAGATGACAGTCTGCCTTTGGGTTCCTGATGATAGCAGAAAGGAAAGTTTTCATCCCACTGGGTCTTCACAAATGAATGTGATCGTGACCCAGACAGGATATTTAGGATTATCAGGATGAGAATCACACAAATGCTGAAAATTTCATTCTACTTCTGTATGGTTTCATCTGGAAACGTGTGAGTTCCTGGTCACTGTACTCATTTGGCATTAAGAAGAGTATTTCAGTTAAGCTTTCAGTCCCTGTGTGTAAAACACTGAATCTAAGGGAATTAGTATGTGGGGTGTGCTAAGGATCTCATACAAAACACTGTTAAGTGTACAAAAATAAAGGCTGTCTTTGGCTTTTACCCTTTTGGGATGTGAGCAAAAGGGCATTCACAAGCTTCATACCAAAATCTTGACTTAAGATAGATTTGGAATTGAAGAAAAAAAAAAATCAGCGGTATACGGTACCACTTAACATACTGATTGGTAAAGTTAATGGAATTCCTACGGAGAGGTGGTACACACGGAAAATTGTATTTGAAAGCATGTAGTTATACTTGTGGAAGATGGTGACAGGAGGCTGGGGAAGGCTCCCAGGCCCTGGAGTGCTAAGGAGCATGAACACTGAAAGAAACGGAAACAAAACAGGTCTAGGATAGAGGGGCCCTGGATGTTGCAGAGGTAATGGTGCACTAGAGGGAGGAAAGCAGAATGCCGTGACGTAAGGCGGCAGAGATAGGTGGGGTCAGGCCATATCTGGCCTTACAGCCTGTATTAATGGCTTTGGACATGGGTTTAATGTCTTCATGGCATCTAGGTATGTTTATGGGTCTTGCAAATTAAGAGATCGACCATACCTGTCCTTTTCTATGATGAAATTTTGTTTAGTATTTGATGCAGGTAAGCCAATTCTTGGGATTTGGTTATCGTTCTGTGGTCATTATTTCCATATATATGTATGTGTATATATATACGTATATATATATATATCTTTTGAGTACTGCACTGGAAGTTCAGGCTAACAGCGTATTTGGGGGATGTTTTCAATATTTAACAACAGTTATTAAGCACCACCCTGGGTCATGAGACAGTACATAGCATGAAATAGGACAAGATTATGAATTTTGAAGTGCAGCATGTGTGGTGGTTAGGGCAATAAACTAGTAAGAGTTCAGAAAAGGAAAGTATCGGTGTGAGCTGGGTTAGTTAAGGCAGGCTCCGTGAAAGAATTTTTAAAACTTCATTTCATTCAATAAACGTTGATAAGCCCTATGCCAGGTACTACAGAACACACAGGCAGCTTAAAAACCGCTGAGCCACACAGTCCTTGCTTCAGGGTAATATTTATTTTTCTTTAGGTCTATTGGAATATAATGACAGAGGGATCCCTGGGTGGCGCAACGGTTTGGCACTTGCCTTTGGCCCAGGGTGTGATCCTGGAGCCCTGAGATTGAGTCCCACATTCGGCTTCCTGCATGGAGCCTGCTTCTCCCTCTGCCTTTGTCTCTGCTTCTCTCTGTCTGTCTCTCTCATGAATAAATAAATAAATCTTTAACAAAAAATAAAAGAAATGTAACAACAGACCTGATTTTATTTCCTCTTTTCCCTGAACTAATCTTGGTTTCATCCCTCACAACAGGATTTTCAGTTTAGAGCACTGAAGAAGGTGAGAATCTTTGACTCACCTGAGGAGTTGCCCAAGGAACGCTCGAGTCTGCTTGCCGTGTCCAACAAATATGGCCTGGTCTTTGCTGGTGGAGCCAGTGGGTTGCAGATTTTTCCTACCAAAAATCTTCTGATTCAAAATAAACCTGGTGATGATCCCAATAAGATAGGTAAGTTACTTATTTTTTGTTGCACGGTAGAGAGAGGAGTGTAGTGAAGTGCTAATGTTGTCTCGTTCCCAAGAAATCATTCTAGTATATGAAATAAAACTGCTATTAGTCTTCATGTTGATCTCCAAGAAGATTAAGTTCCAGGTAGTTTGCTGGAAGCCTTTCTGGTTGTTTTCTTTGGTCCTTTTGGTGAGTTGTTTCTCTGTGCTCAGAAGGAAGAAGAATTGACCAGTCTGCCATGCTTTTTATTTTTGTTCAGTTGAACTTGGGTTCTGGATCTCTAGGAGAAGGGTTTTTTTGCATGGCATTTTAGTTGGCACAATAGTGCCGTCCAAACAGGAAGCATTGTTGTGAAAATAGAGGTACGGGACATTATTTTTAACAAGGGGAACAGCCACAGTTTCCTTGAGGAAGAGTCTGGGTTATTTAATGCATCACTGTACATCTGTAAGAAAGCTAAGATTTAACTGCATGACCAAGTATCAAAATGTGCTTATATGTTTATGTAGATGTAAAAATTGTTTCACGTAAACCTAGATAAAGGGGTTGTGGCTTATGCTTCTGCTTTGTCTTTTTTATGTTTTCTTAGTTGATAAAGTTCAAAGCTTGCTGGTTCCCATGAAATTCCCGATACATCACCTGGCTTTGAGCTGTGATAACCTCACACTCTCCGTGTGCATGATGTCCAGTGAATATGGTTCCATTATCGCTTTTTTTGATGTTCGCACATTTTCAAATGAGGTAAACTACTGGCAAACCATAGTGTCAACATGAGACCTAAAAAAGATTTTCTGGTATTCAATCATAACCTAGAAA